TTAGTATTTATGTTGTTATTTGTTCAAGTCTCTATAAAAGTGCCTTTAAACTGATGTGAACTTATTTTCTTTCTTTAATCTCAGCCTTAAACACCACCATTCTTCAATATTTGTATATGTTCTTCAATATTTGTATATGTTCAGGTCGATTTGTTCGTTATATTTGTCTACTTAAGAAATCTTCTTTCTCTCAGTGCTAAAGCAATAATAATAACACTTGGAATTTAACTGTTTTCTTTATCAGTAATCTTTAAATGTTACTCAGTTACTCAAATTGCCTCAATTTGCAGATAACGCACATTTATATATATATATATATATATGTATATATATGTATATATATATATGTATGTGTGCAGTTGATTTTTCATGAAGTCAAGACGAATATTTACTCTGTGCCTGCTTATTGCATTGCCAGATTGTCAATTAGCACAAAGTAGAGCGAATGAATATAATTAAGTGAGACGCTGTTTGGTAAGAGGGTAAAGGGGACTAGGGGAGAGTGTATAAATGACCAGGCACTTAAAATGCATGGCATACAAATGATGCAAAAGGTGTACGGAAAGTGAACAAAACTTTCATCGGCAAGAAGTCGGCTGCCAAGTTGGCAAAAAAGAATCGCTTTGATGCCGTTTCAAATGAATGGCCAACAACAACAAACACGAGATGCTAAAGGGGAGAAAATGTTGTGCTCAAATGTCACAGGTCACTCTCTTTCTCTGCCTTTCTCTCTAACTCACTCTCTCTCTCTCGCTCTCTCTCTCTCTCTTTCTTTACAGACAACAGCTAAGAAAAAGTGCAAAACTGGCAATCTGCAGTCGCAGTTTCTTGTGACTTCTCAGCTACTCATTTATCAGTTTCTCAGATACCTGAAACTCTCCTTAGACAATTTGCATGTCGTGGCAGTAACTTCTGTAGTATTTTGCTTTTCATCACGTTGGCTGACTGGCAGTTTACATGGCCCACAACTACTCCTCATCAGATTTACATTATGAACTGCAAGCAGAAAAAAGAAAGAGAGAAAGAAAAAATAGAATGATTTTTTCTAAAAGCTACTTCTCTCTCTCCCTCTCTCTCTCTCTCTATATATATATATCTATCTGCTCTGTAAATGTCCCAGCTGCACCAACTCACCTCCCCTGTTCTCCATTTTGCCTTTGGGCCAACTGTGTCAACCAGTTTGACCAGTTGGCTTCGCTGAGTCTCTACGCTCCTTTGTGGCAAACGTTGATTGCTTCTCAGTAGCCTCGACTTCGATTTTAGCTTCGACTTGAGCGTCAATTGATTGGAATAGTTTCTGCTCTTGCTTCGCTTCTCTGTCTCTCTCTCTCTCTCTTTCTCTCTCTCGCTACTTAAGTCTACTTTAATTTGGAGTTTACCGTTTCGCGTGTCAGTTACGAATTTTGCAATTCATGCCTCAACCAAGCCCAGTGCCAATTTTTCCTGGCCAACAGTTCTCAAGGCTATTTATAACGTTTTCTCGACTTTTAGCTTACGATTCGCTGTTGCGGCAACTCAAGCTGCAGCTTGAGAATGCGCCCCTTGAGAACTGCTCCCAATTAATAATGTACACTCTAACGGCCTTCGACAATTCTACCAACAAAAAGCGAAGGCGACCGAGGAACGGGAGATCGATGCATATAAACGTGGAATCAAACCGCGCTATAATTTTTGCATAAATAACACATTAAAGAGATATCGCATAAATACATTCAATACTGCATTTTTGACCAGTACTCATATAAAGCAGTAAAAGAGGGATTTGAATTTTAACGCAATTTTCTAAATTTCAGGGCGATTTATTTTCTGAGTGTAATCCGGGTATATGGTAAAATAAATGGTATTATATTATAAAATAATTTACTTTGGTAAATTTAATTTACTTTAAGCTTTTAAAAACTTAGACTGCGTAACTTGGTGCAGGTCTTTCATGGTCCTCCAGCTTATTTGGCTTGGTTTTATGTTGGTTTTCTACAACCAATTTTTAATGGCCAGTAGCAAAACCAGCTTAAAACCGAGAAGAAAAAAAATGTTTTGTGTCCAGTTGCTGCCATGTTGACTATAATGCCTTTGTGCGATTGTGGCAACAGTTGTTGTTGTTTTGGTAGTTTTGCATGGCGTGTTGAATGTTGCATGATACGAAAGATTCCAGTTTTTGAGGCTCGAACTGCAATCTGCATGTAATATGCTCGTGACTATCACACCCATAAAAAAAATAGATATTAAGTAATTGTGTGGAGCACATGTCTTGTATAACAACTATCTCTCTTAAATGGGCAGCTGACCAGTGCAAAAAGCCTTTTTCCAAATGCGAAAAGAGTTTTAAAATGAATAATAAAAACAAGTCTAAACAAGAAATTACGCTCTAGTCGATAGAGCTCGAATCGGGCTGTTCAATAAATGAAGTTTCGTTACTTTTTCGGCATTCAATATCCCAAGTGTCATTGATATCATTTAATTTGATCAATATTATCTACAACTACTGTTGAAATTCACTAAAACATTGATTTTCTATATACTGACAACCCCACACTCCGTTTGTGGGATTTATGATAAGTAAAGTCTTTGGTACAGATTAACTGGTTACTCGAAGTTCCCCGAAAAGAGCAACTTTGCTTGTTTTAGCCATGCAAACAAGTTGGTGAACAAGATAAAAATATAGCTTTGATTTTATGTATTCATTGGAATTTTTAGTTTGGCATATTAATGCAAAAACTTTGCTGCAAACTTTGTAAATAAATATATGTATATGTACAATGTGCATCCAGTGGCATATCAAACAGAGTCATGTGCAGGAGATGCAGGAGATGCCTCAATCATGTTCAGGCGCACGTACACACAGCTGCATCATCAACTTGCCTCAACATGGACGCAAATTGAGTGGCAAACAGTATGGCGCAAACAAACCAGGCAACAAATAAAAAGTAAAATAAAATGAAATAAAATAAGCATCGCAAGTGAAGCATGTAAACTTTATTTAAATGTTTCAACACTTTTTCCAACCACTCCATAAAAATACTCACCGACACAGTTATGAGTGCAAGAGTCTGGCAACAAATTTTAGAATTGCCGTAGTTAGCACTTGTGCAACGGCCATGAACTGCCCAACATTTGTGCAAATGCATCTCTACCAACTTCTACAGTCTATTTAAGTACAAGTAAATATAAAATTGGAATAATTGTAACATTATTCTTAGGCTTTTACTGTGGATATATTTCGTATTCCATCAGCAAACAAGTTGCTCAAATCAAATACTGATTTCTTATTACTATTATTGAGCTGCTTGATATTTGATATGGTATTTGATAAATATTTTCACTAAAATACGGTCTACATCTCATTTAAAGCATACTAAAATTAAAAGGAATGCATGTTCAGCATTCCATTTGAAGTTAATTTCAGAAATTCCATTAGCGAATAGTATTTCAAAAGCTTTGCAACTCTGTTGTTGTTTACCACAAGAACTAAACTCAACAGTTGTGGCTTTTCAATGCGCGTTTCTCTGATTTTTGTTTCTTTTTTTGCCACAAATACAAATAAAAACATTTACTCACTAAATCCTCTTAATGTATTTCACAATGCTGGCTATTTTTGCATTTGTTATTTTAATTGTGGGCCACTAAATGCAGTGAATGCCTGTTGCAGAACAATGTTAAAAGTGGCTGCCAAATAAGCAGTGAACTAAACACAATAACATTTAGCTCATTACAAGCCCACACTCTACAAACTGAAATCTGTTGTTGGTTTGGCTTATTATTGTTGTTGTTGTTGCTGTTGCTGTTGCTGTTGTTGACTTGCCACTGTAATTAATCACATTTAATTTATCAATTGATAGCCTGCAAACAATCAACGATAAATACCGAAAATATGAAAACAGCTTATGTTGCATTAAAGCTGATTATTTGCCGCAGTTTGATGAGCCAATTAATAATAATAAATGCGTTTTACAATATGCAATTCAGTAATTGATAATGCTTGAATATTTTGTAAATTCTATTTGTAATATGTAAATTGGGATTTCATTTGAGCCCTTTTACTAAGCCATCATTAACCGTTCAACTAAGGATCCTCCATATACTGACTATAATTAAGCGCATGTATTGCTTAAGCTTTCTCAAAACTTATCGTATACAAATTTTTAAGCTCAGGGCAAAATGTTCTATGAGCTGCAATATTTTGAAGAATGTGCTAACTGATCGGCCAAAGTAGAAGTTAGTGCGAGGCACACAGATGAGCAACACTGGAACGCATGTTAGAGCCAATGATTAGATACTGGCCACAACAGCTATTTTTGCAACAGTTGGCAGCTGTTTTACTGTTTAACTGTTGTGAATTTGTCTGTGGTCAGTGACCCATACTTTAAAGCGCCGCCGCTTGGGGAAAAGCATTAAAAAACACGGCCTGCCGCAATCTTCTGCCCCACGGCTAAGGGGAGAAATACACACACATGCACACAAAAAACAACATTAACCGTATATGAATATGAATGCTCGTTAACAGCAGCTGGTAAAGGCGACGCAGTGGAGGAAAGAAGGCAGAGGCAGGTTTGCGTGCTGTTAATGTCATAAGAGAGATGAATAACCAGTACAAGAACAAGAACAAGAAGAACAAGCAGAACTAGAACTATATAACGCACATGTAACTAAACATCACGTGCATGTATATGTATGTAGACATGGACATACATATATAAAATTTTCATTATTGGGCGTAATTAAGTTGCTGAGAGATCGGCAGGTTCGTTGTTTGAGTCTTTCGTTTTGGAAAATCTTTCGCTCATTATAAAACTAAATGGATTATAATGAAGGTGCGTTCACATCGAAATTAATTCAAGTGTTCTACCTCCAATTTTTATGCGGAACTGAACAACAGTCCTACACTTGATTTATGAACAACAACTAGCAGTTGTTGTAGTTCGAGTGTTATTGTTGTTCTTAGATTTGCATGCGTGTGAAACTTGTGGTTCGCATTTGGGTAAACTATTTAATTATATACTCACATTTCCGCTACTTGATATTAATCTAAATGTTGCCAGCCTGAAAATAAAAGAGACGAAAAATTAATGAAGAAATTAACTTAAAGAATATTTTAATGGAGCTCATAAAGCTCACACATTCTTAATAGTAACGTAATAATAACTTTGCTCCTAGCGTGGAAGAGCCATAAGGCTTCCCTGCAATTTCGTTTAGCTGACGTGAATAGAAAATTTAATAAAAACAACGTAAACCGATTATTTGTATGTAAAGTGCTCAACGCAATCTGTCAAAAGATGTTGACTGAACGAACTTAATGAAACAAGTTGCAAAGGCAACGTTAAATGGGTGTGCCTGAGTGTGTGTGACTGACTATTATTATAAAGATAGAAGCCAAAAAGCATAGCTGAAATGAATATAAAAACGGAAATTTTACTTAACAAGCTTGATGAAGATATATACATCCTTATATATAATACATATTTATATATATATTATGTATATGCACATATCTTAATCTATATTTTAACTACTGCTGTCTGAAGTAAGTTCTTAGAATCTCCTACATAGAAAAACACCTATTATACTCTTTAGAATATATTAATGTTCATTTTGTAGTGTTGTTTTTAATGAATGTGTGTATTTTAGCAGTTTTGATTGCTTTAAAGCTTGTACTGATTTTAAATTCCGATCAAGGCAGTAATTTGCCTGTAACAGATTCTGATGCATAAGGCGTTAATTAAGCAGCCGCCGACTGACAAACTTGCGACATGGGAAGAGCTAATGCCGCTGAGAGAGAAACTGAGACCGTGACTTGGGCTGAGACTGACACAGGGACTGAGGTATAACTTGGCTGGATTGGTTGAACTTTTACTCGAGTAGGCGGCGGCGAGTGGCAGAAGCCGCCACGTCAAACTTTGTGCAACGGAAACTTGCGAGTTGCGACTTGCGTCTTGCAACTAAAAGCGAAAAGAAGTAAGAACGAAAAGTGGGTAGCAAATTAAATTAAACGCAAGTGTGGGAAAATTACTTCAAGCGTAAAGTAATAAGAAAATTTTGTGGGTTGCACACTAGAAAAGCCGCCAATGCCCTCATTCTCCCCTTCTTTAAACGCACAGACATGGAAAAAAAAGTGAGCAGGGCCAGTGGAGTGGCTCTAAGAATTAACGAACCGCTCAACTTTAAAGACACATGTATTTCAGCTCGTGAGCCGTAGGCGTGGCATATGTCAAGGTTGTGCACAACAACTCTGAGAAAGTGATTGAAACTGAGCTGAAAGAACTTTGCACAATTTGCTGCAAAAGTGATGCAACGTGGCTGAAAAGTCAATTCGATGAAAGCTTGACGACGCCAGAGAAAGATAGTGATAAAGATAGAGAGAAAGAGAGTGAGGATGATGCTGAGACGGCTCAGATGCTGAGCTGACTGGCCTGGTATATTGGAATTTTTATTGCCTTAATTCGCACAGGCAGCATGTGCCGAAAATGTGCGGAAGCAAATCATATTACGGCTCAGATTTCCGTTCGGCAATTTTGCGAAATCTTGGTACTTCAGTTACCGACAGCAACAATGAGAATGTGTCGAGGGCTGGAGAGAATCGCTCGAAAAACTTATAACTGCAACAAGATTGAAAGGAAACTACTGCAGCATGAATTGAAAATGAATAGAAAGACACAAAAAAAAAACTGAACGAAGCACGAAACTGAATTGATTTTCCATCAATGAGTACAAAATGTAACTACACACCACATAAACAGCAAAAACTACTTGCACAGATCATGTTCATGTTCATCTCTGCCTTGGTCTTGGACAGGCTGTCAGCTTACACATCCAACCACACACACACACGCACACACTTGCTGAAAAACTTGCGTGCGACGAGCTGAGAAAAAGTAGAAAAAAACCCAATGGGGCATTTATTTCACAAAAGTGTGTGGGGAGCGGCAAGAATAAGTGTAGGGGAGGGTCATCCAAAATGTTTATGCCTTGACCATTGAATTTGTGTACCGAAAATTTAATTTTCCATGAAATACAATTCCTTTTTTTTCATCCTCTTCTGCATTTTCCAAGCAATCCTTTTTGCCTCCAGGGGGGCAGTTTGTGTAAGTGGATGTATGTGAGTCTATATATGTGTGTGTGTGTGTGTGTGTGTGTATGTGTGTGTGTGTGTGCGCATGTATTTGTATTAATAGATTGCATCGACCCAAAGTTGCGGCGGGTTGTGTTCGCCCATAAATGGAATTTCAGAATTTCACAATTTACAATTTCGATTTAACGCATTATATTTACACACAATGTTGATCCAGTTATTTATGTATGTTTGTATTGAGCGTCGGCTTACACATCATTTTAATTTTAAGTATTTATATTTTAAAGTTGCAAAATAAATTTAATTTAATTGAATTTGCTGTAGGATGAGAAGCCAGAGGTCCAAACACTGAGCATTTAAATTAAAGTAAAATATTTATTAAAAAATGGGAAAAATTTTCATTTTAAGTGAGCTTAAGGAAAGCGCCAGGCATCAGTCGATTTTATTATACCCAATACCCATTAAAAGTAGATAAAGAGGGTATCTTGTTTTGTGCAACAGTATGCAAGAGACTGAAAGATGGATCTCCGATCAGTTAACGTATATATTATTGATCAGTATCAACAGTCTATTGATGTATAATCTCATATAAAATGTTTAACAGATGGGCTCAGGGTATCTTGTAGTCATTCTTACTTGATTTTAAAATTAGCTAGGGTCATCAATTTATGCTGGTATGCCTTATAAATTTTTTGTTTAAATTAAAAAGTGGCTGGCGATCTTTGATGAACAGCCGCTCATGGTAAGCCGGGGCGTATTCTATTCTTGGCCTTTGGAGAAACGTGACCGTCCATGGATCCGGCAGTTTAAGACCACCATCACGTTTTACACATCAAAACACTTGCAAAAACTGTTTGCAGCGTCCGAAATGGGGATGACAAACATTTTAAACGCCGGCCAGTGGCACATAAATGAAATGTGAGGCGCCTGGAAAACGTCTGCTTTTTCATGTCGGCGACGTGACGTAAATGAAATTTTGCCATTAATTGCAACTGAAACTAAGACATTGAAGGAATGGACATCTGCCAAGTATTAGCAAACTTTATCCATACAATGACATCAGAGTGGGGCAAAAACTTGCATTATTCCTGTGAACGAAAGAGAGAGAGCGAGAAAGAGAGGCAGAGGATGAGATAAAGAGCTGCATCGCAAGTCGCGCCAACAATGGAAAAAGTATTTCAATTTTCAGAACAAGATAAAAACATTGTAAATAAGATTTACTTTTAAACTTCAATCTATGCAAGAGTCAATGGCAAAGTGAAAGTTTTTCTCGTCTCAACTGAGAATCCTTTTCAAAACTGTGCTACATCTGCTCAAACAGAGAAAAGCAATCTACAACTCGACTAAAGATTCAGCAAATCGAATTTAAATCGAAATATAATTTATTTTCAATAGAAATATTCAACTCTCTTATATTTTTCCGTTTTATTGTTTATTTCAATATAAACAAATTTATAACAGTCGATTGACAAACCTTTGAATATATGTATTAAGCAAATCGTCAATAAGGTGAAGTGTACACTCAGAAAAAACCACATGCATTTTTCAAATTTAATGTTGATTACTTAAAGCTTTGATAAAATTTTTACTGCGTTTGCCAAACGTATATGTGGTTCGCAACCACATTCTGATTAAATTCGAACTCACTATTTTCTTTAGTAAAGAAACCTCACCAAGCATGGGTTGCGACATCGACCAATGTTGCAGCTAAACGTTACAATGCCAGGCATTGTCCAAGCTCGCAATCCGCATAAGTAGGCAACAATTTAAGTACAGAGCCCAATGAGCTTTATAGCTAAGTGCTCTGCCACAACAACAAGCCACTTGAGCAATGTTGCAACAACTACAAATTATCTAATCAGACTACAATCTAAGCTCGAGAATTGCTGCTGTTCAGGCCGAAGTGCAACTGTGTGTGTATGTGTGTGTGTGTGTAAGGGCTAAAAAGTGCAACTGGAAGTGGCAGCTAAGGCGATACAGCTATAAACAGCTAGGCCATGTGCAGGACGATGCTTTGTCTGTGGCTATAAGCCACTTGACCGACTTGCAGTGACCAAATGCACAACGAATTCATTCTATTGTGGGGTGAGCTAAGTGAGTGTGTGTGTGTGTGTGTGTGGGTGTGTGTGTGTTGATGTTTGGCAGTTTATGGGTTTTGTTGTACCCAATTCACGCCCATAAAAATTTAAGGGCCAAGACACGTTTCGCATTCAGCCAAATGCGTGTGAATTGCTTTCACTTGCTGCAGTCGCAAAATGAAAATGAAACTAAAAACGCTCCACGACTGTTAAATAGTTAACAGCATGCCGAAAATGTATCCCAACCAATCCACCCAACCACCCCTCACCCTTTTAACCCCCTGAAAGTAATGCTAAATGTTTGCATTTATAAACGTGACGGCGTTCATAAAATGTTGCCCAAAGCGAGAGAGAAGCGAAAAAAATGGATAATGGCAATGGCAACGGCAAAGGCAGCTGCGAGTCCTCTGAACAGGACTCGTAAAAGCGAGGCATAGCTAAAAATGTAATAACAAAGTTTTGTAGGCGCTTTTAGTTAGGGTTTGCTTACATAATGAGCCAAAGAGTGGGCCACGAGGGCAATTACTTAGTTAGCATAGAGTCTATGTAAAAAAAAATACGCCTGCAAGCAAATTGAAATGGTTGTGTCAAAGTTCAACAGTTCGAAGCATGCCACACATACCAGCAACATTCACATATATGTAGAAGTCTACTTAATTGTAATCTGATTGAACAATCTGCACAAAGTCAAAGGTCGATCAAGAGGGCAGTTCATTAAGTAAGCGACAAGACAAAAGCAAAACCAAATCAAAAACAAATTCCAATTCACAAAATTTAGCGTCGCTTTTATGACCAATAAAAAAAGATATTAAAATGCATGAGATTCGTGAAGCAAGTTTTAGGCATGCAAATATTTCAAATATTTTGGAGCCAAAATTGAAATAAAATTTACATAT